AATGTGACGTTAATAGAAAGGGGGAGAGGAGAGAGAGAGAGAGAGAGGGGGAGGAGAGAGAGAGAGAGAGAGAGAGAGAGAGAGAGAGAGAGAGAGAGAGAGAGAGAGAGAGAGAGAAGGGGGGCAAGAGGGTTCATGGTGTTTGACATGCTTAAGATGAGGAGATTGAGGGACTTGACTGGTGTCAAGCTTCTCTGACTTACCTGCCTCCTTCCCTCTCTCTCTCTCTTCCTCTTCCTCCTTCCCTCTCTCTCTCTCCCTCCTTCCCTCTCTCTTCCTCTGCCTGGCCGCCTATACGAGGTACATTTGCTATTCAACAGTGCAGATGAAACTATGAGAGGAAGTTCATGAGTTAAACATAAAAGGATTTTTATTGAGAAGTGACTTTTGACTCTCTCTCTCTCTCTCTCTCTCTCTCTCTCTCTCTCTCTCTCTCTCTCTCTCTCTCTCTCTCTCTCTCTCTCCCTCCCTCCCTCCCTCCCTCCCTCCCTCCCTCCCTCCCTCCCTGTCTTTGAACTACATAAACAATATAAATATTGGCTTAATTTTATGTTTTCTTAACAAAAAAAAAAAACTCATTTTTTCCGTGTACATCGCATATCTATACCAATTTATTTCGGACGAATGTTGCTCTCTGGTGGGCTTGTTTTTTTTTGCTTTGTTTATTGTTTTGATTTCTCGGTTCAGTTCTTCGTGTGTGTGTGTGTGTGTGTGTGTGTGTGTGTGTGTGTGTGTGTGTGTGTGTGTGTGTAGTCAGACGTGAAGATACAATATACAATATTAAACGGGTCGACTTTTGCAGATTGATTTTGGTAGAACAATATGTGTGGGGGTGATGGGGGGGGGAGGAGGGAAAGAGGGGAGGGGAGGAGGGAAAGGGGGAGGGTTAGGGGGTGAAGGTTGGAGGAGCAGTGATGGGAAAGAGTGAGTGGGGGGGGGGGGTCAGATGAGAGTCACTGAGGAGCAGGATGGAGTAGGGGTGTCAGCTGAGTGGACAGCGCGCAGGACTCGTAATTCTGTGACCCGGGTTCGATTCCCGGATAAATGGGGCAAAGTTTCTTTCGCCATGAATGCTCCTGTTACCAAGCAGTAAATAGGTACCTGGGAGTTACACAGCTGCTACGGGCTGCCTCCTGTGTGTGTGGGGGGGGGGGGGGAGTTAGTACTTATTAACAGTTGATTGACAGTTGAGAGGCGGGCCGAAAGAGCAAAGCTCAACCCCAGCAAGCACAACTAGGTGAATACACACACACACCCACACACACACACATACACACACACATACACACACACACACACACACACACACACACACACACACACACACACACACACACACACACACACACACACACACACACACACACACACACACACACACACACACACACACACACACACACACACACACACACACACACACACACACACACACAAGCCAAGAAAAACACTTGGAGCCCGTTGACACAAGCAGTAAACAAGAAGCAGAAGAAGAAGATGTTGCTCCTCACAATCCTCTTGTGTTTGCTCGTTTGATCCCAAACAAACACTCGTGCACAGAACCTCCCAATACAGTTATGCACGCAAACACAAGGATAAAAAAACACGCCTGTGAACATGAACTCTTGACCACTCGCCCACTCCACAAACACCACCGACAACTCGGACCTCCGCTTGAAACAATTAACAAACAAACAAACAAAAAAATTTCAACCCATCCTAAATTTGTTGTTTTCAAGATGAAAATTTCGTAACTGGATAAACTTTTTTTTTTCCCGGGAAACAAGTCAGTTATTTTGGGTTCCTCTCTTTTTTTTTTTTTTTGGTGGTGGTTAAATGAGCTACAGATGAAAAGGTAATTAAGTGGTTTGTGGATGTGGTTTGTGGGTTGTGGTTTGATGGTTAGGTTAGGTTCGGGTTGTGGTCTCGTATCAAGTATCACCGTAATTTCTCACTCATTAGGATGACGTCACCAGGTGATTGATGGTTAACTGGTAATTACTAATCGGGTCGTGACGTGTAGGACAAATACTCGGACATATAGGACACTATATGTCCGAGTATTACGGACATATAGTGGATATATAGTACTCGGACACTATATGTCCGAGTACTATAGGATACTCGGACATATAATACCTTTATATTGTAGGACAATATACAAATGTAGGATCTCGGATGTAAGTTCGAATCCTCGTCACGGCCCTTGTGGATTTGTACAGACACCGATGAATGATACAGTTAGCGGTGGAATGTAAATGCAATCAGTGGTAAAGGATAGATACAGTCGTAAGGGAGGAATACAATAGCTATTGAATGATACAATAACTGTTGAAGTGTACAAATGTTGGTGAAGGGTAGATACAATCACTGGTGGCTACAATCATCGTAAAGGATACAATCACCTAGGATTGTATCCTCTACGAGTTATTGTATCCATCGAATACAATGCTATAATACAAGGATTCACACTGATTGGTGGTGATGGGTCGACTCTGGGGCGGGGATTAGTAACGGCATAACAGCATTGGTCGTTAGGTAACAGCATTGGTCTTGAGGTAACAGCATTGGGCGTGAGATAACAGCATTGGTCGTGAGGTAACAGCATTGGTCGTGAGATAACAGCATTGGTCGTGAGGTAACAGCATTGGGCGTTAGATAACAGCATTGGTCGTGAGATAACAGCATTGGTCGTGAGGTAACAGCATTGGTCGTGAGGTAACAGCATTGGTCGTTAGATAACAGCATTGGGCGTTAGATAACAGCATTGGTCGTGAGATAACAGCATTGGTCGTTAGATAACAGCATTGGGCGTTAGGTAACAGCATTGGTCGTGAGGGAACAGCATTGGTCGTGAGGTAACAGCATTGGTCGTGAGGTAACAGCATTGGTCGTGAGATAACAGCATTGGTCGTGAGATAACAGCATTGGTCGTGAGGTAACAGCATTGGTCGTGAGGTAACAGCATTGGTCGTGAGATAACAGCATTGGTCGTGAGATAACAGCATTGGTCGTTAGGTAACAGCATTGGTCGTGAGATAACAGCATTGGTCGTTAGATAACAGCATTGGTCGTGAGGTAACAGCATTGGTCTTGAGGTAACAGCATTGGTCGTGAGGTAACAGCATTGGTCGTGAGGTAACAGCATTGGTCGTGAGGTAACAGCATTGGTCGTTAGATAACAGCATTGGGCGTTAGATAACAGCATTGGTCGTTCGATAACAGCATTGGTCGTGAGATAACAGCATTGGTCTTGAGGTAACAGCATTGGTCTTGAGGTAACAGCATTGGTCGTGAGATAACAGCATTGGTCGTGAGATAACAGCATCATGAGGTAATGACATTGATAGTTTTGAAGTGATAACATTTCATTAGCCTTGACATTCCTTTTTTAAGTTAATATATAATAGAATGTAAACAATATTTATCATTTATCATGAAATTTTCAGTAAAATAGGATAATAATTGTAACAGATGTACTGGGATGATAATGAATGATGATACTGAGGGTAATTATCATTCATGGTTGATAATGAGCCATAGCAATATTGAGAAGAAATACCTTTAATATCTGACTAAAAATGTATTAAAAATGAATTAAAAGCTTGTAACTGCACGACAGAGATAGACAGAGATAAGAAATTCGTGTTGGTGATAGGTGTATATGAGAGTACATTGCTGCCCAGTTTCAGGGGTGACATGGTTGCATTAGAGTGCATTGTTGGCCAGTTTCAGGGGTGACATGGTTGCATTAGAGTGCATTGTTGGCCAGTTTCAGGGGTGACATGGTTGCATTAGAGTGCATTGTTGGCCAGTTTCAGGGGTGACATGGTTGCACTAGAGAGTGCATGCATTGTTGCAGAGTTCACGGTGACACGGTTGCAGATACACTCTGGGATACTGTCATTTAGCTCTGCACGGGTCGCTAGCAAATGTAATCTGACTTTGTGTTCGATGTGCAGGTGATAGCTGCCAGGGGTCCAGTGGTCAGAGGAATTTGATGGCGTGGCAGGAGTGGGGGTGTTGTCAGTGGGGGGTGTGGGGGGTGTTGTCAGTGGGGGGTGTTGTCAGTGGGAGTGTTGTCAGTGGGGGGTGTGGGGGGTGTTGTCAGTGGGGGGGTGTTGTCAGTGGGGGGTGTTGTCAGTGGGGGGTGTTGTCAGTGGGAGTGTTGTCAGTGGGGGGTGTTCTCAGTGGGGGGTGTTGTCAGTGGGAGTGTTGTCAGTGGGGGGTGTTGTCAGTGGGGGGTGTTGTCAGTGGGAGTGTTGTCAGTGGGGGGTGTTGTCAGTGGGAGTGTTGTCAGTGGGGGGTGTGGGGGGGTGTTGTCAGTGGGGGGTGTTGTCAGTGGGGGTGTTGTCAGTGGGGGTGTTGTCAGTGGGGGTGTTGTCAGTGGGAGTGTTGTCAGTGGGGGGGTGTTTCAGGGGTGGAAGTGTTGCTTGCTCTGACAACTTGCAGGACTGTTAAAGTGTCATATGAACTCCCTCTTCTGGTCACAGGATAGGAGATAAAGTGTGTTCTATCCACTCTGAAACTCTGCAGTCCTGTTGGGACGCAGAGCCTGGTCCCCTCCGGATTGGACCTTTAGGGAATCGAACCGAGTTTGTAAACTTGGTAGAAGGCCAAGCGAATATTTGTTTATATATTACATCATTATGACCGCAATTTAGATTAATCAACATATTGTATGTTGTAATCATCATCATCATCAAACACATCCCCAGAAATCAAGAAATCATCAAATCCACAAGGGCCGTGACGAGGATTCGAACCTGCGTCCGGGAGCATCCCAGACACTGCCTTAATCGACTGAGCTACGACAGGGTTAAAACGTTGAGAAATCATCACTTACCACCATCCCTAACCACCACTACCACCCCACCCCCCCACCACCACAACCACCAGCAACCACTGCATTAGCATACAATTCACAACACCAAAGTTATAATTGCTGTTACCCAACCGTTACCACAACACCTCTCCCTCTCTCTCTCCCCTCCGTGCAGAAGTCGGGGGCCCGGATGAAGTGTTCCGCCTGTAAGATCATCGCCCACACGGGTTGCATCGCGGCGCTGGTGGAGCGGGTCAAGTTCCCCTGCAAGCCCACTTTCCGCGACGTCGGTCCGCGCCAGTACAGGGAGCAGACGGCGACGCACCATCACTGGGTCCACAGACGAAGCCAGAAGGGCAAATGCAAGCAATGTGGCAAGGTAAGTCTGCTTTCTTGTTCTTGAGGTACGTCACTTGAGACGATAAGGGGCTATTAAGCAAGTGTAACTGTATATATATATATATATATATATATATATATATATATATATATATATATATATATGACAGTGTCAAACCACGGAGGAAAATTGAAACAGGAATTTCCTTAAGTACTTTCGTTTATTAATACATCTTAAGAAGGAGTGACGCCCTCTGAAGATGTATTAATATACGAAAGTACTTAAGGAAATTCCTGTTTCAATTTTTCTCCGTGGTCTGACACTGTCATATATATGTATATATATATATATATATATATATATATATATATATATATATATATATATATATATATATATATATATATATATATATATTGCATTCATCTTAGGGTGGAATATATTAATTTCTTCGTGATTTACACACACACACGTATGTACATATTCCATATCTCTCCAGAGCCGCCCTAAGCAATTCTGAGTGATGGAATAGTTCAGACCAGGTCTAATTGGCTCGTGTGGAGAAGGGGGGGGGATACAGTAATTAAAGCAGCTGGTACAGGCCAAGCCTGTGTAGCATGCCGAGATGTTGGCCATTAGGTGCGGGGCAGGGATTGTAGGTGATTGTTGCAAGTGTTAGGTGGCTTTTAAGGTTCATAGGTGGCTGGTAGGGTTTCTAGGTGGTTGGTAGGGGCTGTAGGTGGCTGGTCGGAGTTACTGTTTATATAATGTTCAAGAGGTGGATAGTAACATTAGGTAAAGGGAAAAGAATTGCTTTTTCTTTGTCAGTGGCGTTTCAGCACGGGCCTCGAGTCTCTAGCTGGCCTGCTAAGTGTTGACTCATTTCAGTCCTTGGTGTTAACTGATAACATAAAGGTAGGCCAGGTCCCAAATCTACACAGTAAAATAACAACGTACTGGAGTGAACGATATGGAAGAAAATGCAGGATTGAACCAGTGAAGAGCAGAGGTGCCATAGGCACAATCAGAGAACACTGTATAAACATCAGAGGTCCACGGTTGTTCAACGTCCTCCCAGCGAGCATAAGAAATATTGCCGGAACAACCGTGGACATCTTCAAGAGGAAACTAGATTGTTTTCTAAGAAAAGTGTCGGACCAACCGGGCTGTGGTGGGTATGTGGGCCTGCGGGCCGCTCCAAGCAACAGCCTGGTGGACCAAACTCTCACAAGTCAGGCCTGGTCTCGGGCCGGGCTTGGGAAGCAGAAGAACTCCCAGAACCCCATCAACCAGGTAACTGGGGTCGGTCCTGGAGGGCAATGAGTGTAAATCTTCACGAGATACACGAGGTCCTTGTTACACTCACGCCTTCCATTCTCTCTGGTCTTTGCTATACAGGATCTTCGCTACGGAAGATCTGAACCCGTGCCGTGAGACTGCATGAGGTCCTTGCTGCACGTGGTCCTTACTGCACCTGGTCCTCACTGCACGCGAATTGCCAATTGAGGATCTTCACTATATACCCAATCCTCACTTGGGCGTAGCCTGGTGAAGCCCCGTGTCCTCTACAGCACGGTGTCCAGAAGAGGCGAGGGAGGATATCCAAGACAATTAGTGTTAACTACCAACTGAATATGTATTGCAAGGCCAATGCAATATCTTTTATTGGCATCAGGGTTACGTTCTATTAGCAGATATGACATGTATGCATGGGATGGAATATATCTTAAGGCGGGGTGGCAGCCTGCGTTAGTGTAGTGGAAGCCATTTATTAAGGGGGTGGCAGCCTGCGTTAGTGTAGTGGAAGCCATTTATTAAGGGGGTGGCAGCCTGCGTTAGTGTAGTGGAAGCCATTTATTAAGGCGGGGTGGCAGCCTGCGTTAGTGTAGTGGAAGCCATTTATTAAGGGGGTGGCAGCCTGTGTTAGTGGAGTAGTGAAGCCATTTCTCAGGGGGTGGCAGCCTTGTACATGGTCTGGTTTTGTACTGGCTGGAAGATCAAAACACTAGTTTTACCCACAACAATTTTACCATCACTAAGGCAGCCTGATAGTCTCCATCAAGCTGCTTCAGTAATGGTAAACTTTTGTGGGCAAAACTACTTTAATTTTAAGGTTATAGAAAGAGAATTGCTAAGACGGTAGCGGAGACGATGACAGACACAACACAACACAACACTGAAGGTATGTTTCAAATAGAGTAGCGTTGTAAATAATTGAGAGGAGTTAAGCGCACTTGTTCTGCACAGAAACCACAGATATCGTTTCAGAAACATGCATGAATGTAGATAAATCGGAACTATTAGGAGAAGACAACATTTTTGGGGATACATGTTATTTTACAGTGATAATACAGATTTTACGAGGGTGGAGAGTAGCAATGTATATCATACAGATTTAAAATGTACAGTCAGTCAGTCTGGTAATGCAAACTGAGCCAAACTTCGACTGTGGACGAACGTGGTTGTTATTGTTGAGTTGACGTAGGGTCAGCTGTGACCCCTGGAACGCTGTCTCAAGGCTCTGTGATAACCCTGTCATGACCCCTTGACCGCTGTCTCAAGGCTCTGTGATGACCCCGTCGTGACCCCTGGACCGCTGTCTCAAGGCTCTGGGATGACCCCGTCGTGACTCCTGGACCGCTGTCTCAAGGCTCTGTGATGACCCCGTCGTGACCCCTGGACCGCTGTCTCAAGGCTCTGTGATGACCCCGTCGTGACCCCTGAACTGCTGTCTCAAGACGGTGATGGCTCCGCCCGCCGCCAGTCACTCAAGGCTGAGATCAACAGCGGGATACAGTTGACCAACTAACGGAGTGCAGAGGGGGGACGTCCTAAGAAAAAGTTAACATCACAGGCCCAAAATATCTTCAACAAGACGGGATAACGATTGGTAGCTCAAACAGCATAGTTAGCACGTGATAGGAAGAAGCAGAGCGATGCCTCCCACCACCATAAGACGACACCAATAGAGTACATTCAACTCTGCACCTCTGGAGGAAAATTGAATCGGGGAGCCAGCAGATAGAGAGAGACAAAGCTTCTTAACAAGAAAGTTTGGAAAAGCTTAGGGGAGTAGGCGATTCTCACCAGAGACAGGTTGACCGGGCTTTTTTTGATCAAGAAATGCTTCAGTAAGATGATGGTGCTTTACCTGGTCTCGTAGAGGTGACATTGTAGACAAGGTAGACATTTTGGCCGGCAATAGGAGCAGGTCTATTGTCTGCGCCTCTGTTAAGGAGTATGATGTTGGCAAGGCGGTCGAAGTAAGGGATTACTAAATAGATTCAAGTTAGCAGTTGATATAATTAGGAGAGAATGAAGAGTTCCTCTCGCATAATGACGTTCTCCCGAGGTTGTGACGGTGATGAGTAGTTAACCAGTGCATTTGGGGTTAAATTGCCGAATTGAAAAGACAATGTTTTGATGGTATAAATCCATTCATCAACAACGGGGGATTCGTTCATTCATTCATTGGCAAGAACTCCATTTTCTAAAACGAGGGACTAACTATCCTAACCTAACCCATCCTAATCCAGGGGGGAGGGGGTGACTTAAGCAGCCTCGTTGCTTGAAGTAGTTCGTAAGACTTCAGGCTCCTATAGGCTAGAACTCTGGGTGTAAACATCAGCACTAGGAAGGGAACACGGAACATGATGGAGACGGGGAACATGATGAAGACGGGGAACATGACGGAGACGGGGAACATGATGGAGACGGGGAACATGACGGAGACGGGGAACATGATGGAGACGGGGAACATGACGGAGACGGGGAACATGATGGAGACGGGGAACATGACGGAGACGGGGAACATGACGGAGACGGGGAACATGATGGAGACGGGGAACATGACGGAGACGGGGAACATGATGGAGACGGGGAACATGACGGAGACGGGGAACATGATGGAGACGGGGAACATGATGGAGACGGGGAACATGACGGAGACGGGGAACATGACGGAGACGGGGAACATGATGGAGACGGGGAACATGACGGAGACGGGGAACATGATGGAGACGGGGAACATGACGGAGACGGGGAACATGATGGAGACGGGGAACATGACGGAGACGGGGAACATGATGGAGACGGGGAACATGACGGAGACGGGGAACATGATGGAGACGGGGAACATGACGGAGACGGGGAACATGATGGAGACGGGGAACATGATGGAGACGGGGAACATGACGGAGACGGGGAACATGACGGAGACGGGGAACATGACGGAGACGGGGAACATGACGGAGACGGGGAACATGATGGAGACGGGGAACATGACGGAGACGGGGAACATGATGGAGACGGGGAACATGATGGAGACGGGGAACATGATGGAGACGGGGAACATGACGGAGACGGGGAACATGACGGAGACGGGGAACATGATGGAGACGGGGAACATGACGGAGACGGGGAACATGATGGAGACGGGGAACATGACGGAGACGGGGAACATGATGGAGACGGGGAACATGATGGAGACGGGGAACATGACGGAGACGGGGAACATGACGGAGACGGGGAACATGATGGAGACGGGGAACATGACGGAGACGGGGAACATGATGGAGACGGGGAACATGACGGAGACGGGGAACATGATGGAGACGGGGAACATGATGGAGACGGGGAACATGACGGAGACGGGGAACATGACGGAGACGGGGAACATGACGGAGACGGGGAACATGATGGAGACGGGGAACATGATGGAGACGGGGAACATGACGGAGACGGGGAACATGATGGAGACGGGGAACATGACGGAGACGGGGAACATGATGGAGACGGGGAACATGACGGAGACGGGGAACATGATGGAGACGGGGAACATGACGGAGACGGGGAACATGATGGAGACGGGGAACATGACGGAGACGGGGAACATGACGGAGACGGGGAACATGACGGAGACGGGGAACATGACGGAGACGGGGAACATGACGGAGCAAAACACAAAAATGAATAAAAAATGCCTATAGGAGAGAAGCGGAAGCTGCGAACCTGACACAAGACAAACTATTTGGCAACTG